GGTTAAAAAGTATGTGTAGAATCTAGTTCATTATTAAGAGAAACCATATAAGCATACTAAACAATAAGCAAGTGAGATTCTCACAGTGTTCTAATTTTATTCATTTTGCTGTTAAAGTTAACTTCGGTTTAATAAAGGAGAAGGTAGGGAAATGAAGGCTTTAATTACAGCTGGTGGGCCCAGAAGAAGGCAAGAAAATTATTATAAGAACCTGCTGAGTTTAGAAAAGTAGCCCAAGATGACAACACAATGACTATTTACTTGAAAGTAAGTTCTATTTTGTTTCACAAGATTTACTCCCAGATAAATATGCACAGAACTGCAGCTGTTGAAGCACTGTATTACAGAAAAGCAATATATAATGAAATCTGAGTTTTTATTTTTTAGTTTTCACTCAATACTGAATATTTAAAAATGCAGATTTTCACCATCACACAACATATGTCTACACAAGAAACAGTAGTACTGAATGGTAATTCTTCCAGCAAGACAGACCCATACAGTGCAATTATTTGAAAAGTTGACTGAAAATGTTACCTGACTCTAGGAATGATTTTGCATTTATTTCAGAAGCCTATGGTTGCTTTCTACACTGAACTGAGTAAATAAGAGAGAAATGGTAACATTTACAGCACAACTCTAAGCATGTTTGCTTGGAAATCATTCCCATTTATTAAGTTCAACTGGACCTGCACAGCAGCAAGTGTGATTCTATTTATGGAAAGCAATGTTTTTATTTATTGATAATGCCAAATGTTTATTCTTTGCAACACTATTTTATTTTATAAAACTAAATGCATGGTACATTTTGATGTCAGAAATGAAACAAGTATTATTGCTTAGCCTTTGATCTGTAAGTTTATTTAAAGATGTAAGTTTCATTTGTATCTAATTTTTAAAAATAACAGATCAAGCACTGGAATGAGAGTTTCCGCTCCAGCATCCTCAAAATAACAAATACTATACTTACTAGTTTTTCCCAACACCATCGCCATCTGGAGATCGAGTATAGGCAATCTTAAACTCAATGTCTGGTACCAGTTGCATGGCCAGGCGGTAGAATTTAATAGCTAAAAACAAAGGTAGTTTCTTTTCAAATGGGTATCTATTCAAACTGTGCTTCTAAAATTACCAGAAATCTTATGCAATTCTGGTCATCTTATAATATTTTAGTGGCATAGCAAAAAGCAACTTATTCAAAACCTGCACTTAAAAAGAATGAAGCATGTGTTTTACTAAAATAATATAAAAGCTACTTTTTATAGTTTCAACCTAGTAAATATTTTACTGTTTTGATACCATTTTACATATTCCAAGATAGTGAATGCATCAATTCATTTGAATGATTACAAGTTGTTCCTATGGAGTAAGTAGTTGACATGTGTTTGAAACCAGTCCAGAAACAGCCTACCTGCTTAAACAGGAGTGAAATAAATCCTAAGCAATTACATCATTCTATATCCATTGACTTCAATGAACATAGCTGTAACTTTGTTCAGGATTGCATCGTTACATTCTTAGTCAGGCAAGGGGTTTCAGCTCATGCAACTGAATCCCACTAAGTCATTTAATCACTAGTCCAAGCATTCTTATAGTTCAGATGAGCTATCCATGGTTATTCAGCTGAAAAGGGGGAACATGCTAAAGACCTTATATAACACAATAGATTGGATCCAGAAAACTATTTCAGTCTTACTTAATTTCCCTCCTTACTGCAGCCCCTGTCTTATACACAGGTCCTGGTATCTCCAACTCTTTTTGGTAGTCAAAATACCCTTTTTCACCAGTGGGAAAGATAGCTGCATCAACTCTATAGCATGAGGCTCACTTGAAAGACTGTCTCACTGATCCCTTAGTATTGATCAGGTTAAGAGGCAGAGACTTGTTCCTTGTGTTGGTTAGAAACAGGACATCTGGCGTTTTCTTTTCCAGCCCAGAAAAGATTTCTAAATGGGACTTGGGAGAAACTCAGTTCCCCTATCTGTATGATCTCCGTGGGGAAGCAAACCTCATGGTTCATCACTACTCTCATATTCAGCAGTTAAGTGTTACACTGGCAATCAATGTAACGATTCAAAACAACCATACACCAGGTCCTACAGGTATAACAGATACCTTTGGATTTATATGGCTTGAACCACAGTAACTGATGCTATATTGTAATTTATTTTTGAAGCTCAGGTGGAGTTTTAAAAGCAATTTGTGAAATGGCACAGCTGGTTTACTGTTCAAAACAGCAGAGAACCAAAAGCACAACAGTAGTGGCTTTATGAGAACTAACAGTTATTTGAAATGCATGGGCAAATGAAAGTATATTATCAATACAGAGAAATATATTACAATGCAGACATGCAAATAGGCCTCCCCATTGAAATGTGCTCATGACCACAATATGTTAGGGCCACTACTTTTTGAATGAGAGCCCCAGACTGGTACACTATATTCAACTCCATTAAACTTCTGCATGGCCAAACTACAATAAAATAAAAATGCATTCAATGTTGATAAAATGTCTTTCATCTTAACTTTTTGCTCATGATAATTTGATTTACTGGATATGAGATTTAATAAATTATACACTTTGATATCAAAAGTTAACAAAACTTGGTCAAGATATGCAACGAGCTGAGATAAAAAGAAAAAAGGGGGCGATGTGACTCTGGTGACTACTGTTGTCAGATTAATTCACAAACCAATGGAAATGGGAAGGTACTGGAATTTTTCAGATAAAAAGCAAAAAGAACAGCATACTAGGACAAACCTGACTTTTCTAAGTGCTTTTGGACTGTTATCAATACCTGCAAAAAAATTATACAGTGCTGGTGTCCCCAAATGAGGCTTAAATAAAGCATTCCAAATAAAACATTTATTTCTCTCTCCAATTTTTGTCTTTTGGCATGAGGCCTATTTTCTCTCTTAAAAAGGTGAAATTTTCCTTCAAGTCTGAAAAATTCCTACAAATACTAATTACATTTAGAAACCATCTGTAAAATGCCGTAAAATGGCAAGAAAATATGCTGAATATTTTGGGATGCCAACAGACTTCAAGAAAAAATGTCCTGTCCCTTCAATAAAAGACCAATGTGCAGAAATGGGCTGCTGAAAGTAATCATGGCAATTGCAATGCCATGAATGTTCCAGTTTGTCAGTGATACTTCAGGAAGATCCAGAGAACAAATGCTCATGGCCTCACAGGTCTGCTACAAAAAACCTTGGAGCGGATACAGACAACCAATTCTGAAACACACCTAACTTAACATGATTACTAATTTGAATGGGATTTATTTCTTGGTTAGTGTGGTTAACTTTGCAGCCTTGGAACTAGCATGGCCAGATACTTGAAGAAATGTCCCTTTAAGAAGTGCAATGAGATGTTATTTACTACCATGTAATAAAAACTTAACTTGTCCATTTCCACATATTAAGTCTCTATTGAAGGGGCAGCATGTTTTTGTCTCCAAGCCTCCTGGCAACCATACTTGGAATTAGTGAACTTTGGAACTGGGCAGGTTAACAATGAACTCTTCACGTTTGGGCACTCCTGATTTCTTCTTGTCTTTCCCCAGGGGGAACATAACGGAGTCTCTCCTAAATCTGACCCCCTCCCAAAAAAAACCTCACACTAACTATGAAAGGGGCTCAAACTCCCCACCTTCTTTCCTTTTTGTAATCTTACCCAGAAAGAAAAAAGATGCAATGGAAATGGCTTCCAGAAACACAAGTCTCAGGTTTAAGGCCTGAGCACTCCTCCATTATTGCTGGAACACATAGGAAGTGTTTGCTCATGCTTCCACCTCAAGGGGAACTTCATTTCCCACTATTCTCACTGCCAACAGACTAAAATTGAAGGGTGGAGAGAGCTCATAACTCCACCATCCAGAACATGACAGACCCTTAGCTCAGTGAAGCAAAATATAAAGCATGCCAATTTGGACTCAAGTGATGTATCGGTTAGAGCACCAGAGTAGGAACTGGCTTCAAATCCCAAAATGGCCATGAAATTCACTGGGTGATCTCAGGTCAATTATTTCCTCTCAGCTTAACCTTTGGCACAGGGTTGCTATGAACATCAAATGGGGAGGGAGAACCATGTATGCTAGCCTGAAGAAGGGTAGACTAAAAATTCAAATGGGGAGGGAGAACCATGTATGCTATTGTGGCCTGCCTGAAGAAGGGTAGACTAAAAAGGTACCAGAAATATCAACTCTGAGATGGGCCTGTCGTCAATGAAGTTGTATGAGGAGATAGGAGCAACTACTGAAAGACAATTTCTTTGGAAGTTGCTGAAAATCTTTAAGCTGGCAACACTCAGTACAAAAACTGTAACTGCACAGTCCTGACTACAAATGTTATCCCACTACTGACAAGGTACACGTATGGAGACACTCAAGCGATTGGGATAATGTACGTGTGGCTTAGAAATGATGTTGGCCCTACAGGGTTGCCATGATGTAAGATATATAAGGCATGAATTAGCACTCAGCAACATATACAAACTTTTATATTACCATCAGTAAATCAGCACCAGTTACCTCAAGTCCTATAGAGACAGTGTTCCAAAGGATTTTCCACTCCTAAATATATTTTCCAAACTTTCACACCTTGCAGCAATACCAAGTTATTTACACACAAGATTTTGAAAAGTTTCTTTATTTACAGACACATACAGTAAACATTACAAAATTAACAAGACTTTAGTGGGTATCTCCAATACCAAATGTTGTGAAAAACCTTTTTTTTTATTTTCTTTTTTGCCTGAATGTGCTGCTGGACAAAGTAGATAATACTGAGCTAGATGGACCAATAAACAGTTCTTCTGAAAGTGTAGAAGGGACATTTTGATCAGCACTGAGACTGTGATAAGCATCAAGGTGACTGACAAGTTATACTGCTGCACAAAGGCCTTCCAATATGTAGGCATAAAGTCTAACAATGCACCACATTGTCTGTAAACCTATCCCAGAAAGAAGTTTGGTAAATCCTATAAGTTCTGATAATGGCCTTCTCCTTGACAGCAACTCTGCTTCTTGACTTATGAAGCTGGTAAATGTATGTTGGACATTATGTGTTAAGAGAAAAATGAATGTTTGGACAAGTCTCATTCAAGCCAAACTTGTCTTTCCTTCCCTACATAAGTGAGAGACCTGCTGACAAAATAGCCTACATTTCGTAAGTATTAGATATAATAAAATGTCTTACGAAGTGTTTTTTCAACTAGTTTAAGGTAAAGTATGCTTTTCTTAAATGGTAATATTTTCTTGGTAAGTATTAGCTTGGTTGATTTTACTGAAACATCTAAGCCAAGGGTCCCCCAAACAGTTCCTGTGGGTACCAAGGTGCATGCCGACACCTTTCCTGGCACTCACCAAGTGGGTAGGGCCAGGCTTCTGATTGGTCATTGAAGATTTGATTGGTTGTGCAGATTTTAACAGGCAGTGTTTAAAAAAAAATTGCCAAGTCATACTTTGTGAACTGTGAAATCTATTCATGTCACACCATATCATTGGTAAAATTAAAAAGTTGTGCAGCCTTTCCTACGGAAATACTAATCCTGAGGATAAACTCGTCTGCAATGTGCCCATATAAAACAAGTCAGATATGGAATAAGATAACTATGAAACCTACTTCACCAGTGCCAATGAACTTTATCTGACACAACACAGATGCTGGATTTCTAGATATAACCAAAAGCTTTATGTTACAGCAGTGTGTGTGCAGATAAGAAATCTTTCAATTTGAGATCCTTTCCTAACTGTTACAGCAGTGTGTGTGCAGATAAGAAATCTTTCAATTTGAGATCCTTTCCTAACTAAAGGAAAAGCTATTTACTATAATTCACCTAGTTTGTTTTCATTCCACCCGTTCTCCAAGAAGCTGTTGTCACAACCACCCTGTAAGATTCTTCTCTCTAACCTACAACTTACCAAAAGATAACCCATATCATTTATGACTGAGCAGGGATTTCAATTAGCCTGGCAGTTAACTGGGACACCATGCTGACTCTGTATTGTCAGAAGCTACTCACCAATTCAAGCTAAATTAAACCAATTCATACTGGTGTAGCCCCAATGAAAGGCTGCAGCAAACTACCCGAAGTTCCATATAGGCTAATATTCCATGGAAGGGTGCTAATATATTATTCTGCTCTTGATATTTTTCAATATACAGAGTGCTTTGCAATAAATTTATTCATCCTCACAACAACCCTGTGAGGTAGGTTAGTCTAATAAGTCAATTATCCCAATGCATTGGTTTCTTGTCTATGCTTTGAAGGTAGTTATCCATTTCAAAACCAACACCAACCCAACTAATATCACAGGAGCTCTGAATGATCAACAGTCTTCAGTTTTATCTTTTTTCAAACAGTTTATTCAATAATAGGTAGAGGCAACAACATTGCCTAGCTCTCAATCACATTTACAATTTACTTGCCCTTAGCAATTATTTCACCAGCTATGGTGTAAAAACTTCTGTAACTGAATTAAAATACAAATGTTAGATTACCTTCATAAAGAGCCCCATTTTGTTCTTGTTCCACTGCCTTCAGGAACAGCTCTCTTGCCTGCATAAAAATTAGTCAGCTGTTTAAGAGTACATTATAAACTAGAAAAATAAATTACTAGTTGTCATTTATGAAATTACAGTAAAATGTAAGTCTTATTAGCAAGGATCTTTAAATATATTTAGGTATAACTCTTAACATTGTTCTTAGGGTTGCCAACACCCTGCAGAAAAAACATCCTGCCTCTTTAATGGAGGCATCATGTGTGGAAGTGGGCACTTCGAACTTTCCATGGCATTTCTGATATTTGTTTTGTGGACCATGCTATCTATCCAGTTTTACTTTTACTTCAACTTCTTGCATGACAGTGAACAACCTCAATATTAGGACACTATGTTGAAGCTATAGTGGATTTTTACAGCAGCCTTTTCTGCTGGAATAAGGAAGTCAAAAGTACAACTATTATGTCAATATCTAATAAAAACACGAAGTCCTTGGAAATTATATTCTTCACCTAGAGCAAAGTCTGTGAAAGTGATAACAAGCAAGAAAGCAAGCATCTGGTAGATGATTTCCAAACCTGAAGTCTTAAGGTAGCTGCTAGAGAAACCCCATATTCCAGCTGTAATATTTCTGTCAACCCTTAAAATTAAGACCTGAACATACAAGCTAGAACAACAGCACTAAGTTCTTTTAACATCATCAGCATTCTGGATAGATGAAAGTCTACTCTGGCAAAGACTCTTACGACACTGAATGAAAAGGCCCACAGGAAGGGACGAAAGAGTGAATTCAGGAGTAATAATGAAGTGCCATTTCCTCTTTTAAGCGCAAACTATTAAAAAAGAAAGTGACTAAAGTTAATTGAGTTCTTCTATATACTTATACTGAAATGCAATTTATTTCTACAATAATTATATCTATTTGAACATATAAATGGCACAAGCATGACTCATCACTTCTACTTTAGTATCAAATCTTGCATCTCTATTCTAAACATGTTTGTCACCTTTACCTTAGTGGTTAGATCCAAGAGATTTAAGAATGTAGCTTAATTGCTTCCAAATACTTATCTCCCACTTTCCTTTGCATACTCCCTAGTGTTGATATCTACCTACATGGTTTCTTCAATTCAGGAGACAAATAAGAGAAAGCAATAAAAGATGACACACTGGTAAGGACAGAAGTAGAAAAATTAGTCCATGCCTTACATGCTTTGCCTACAAAGACAGCATTCCATTAGCTCACTGCAGAGGAATGTTATCATTTAAGAAGATCAAGTTCTTTACCTTTTCCTCTTTTGCTAGTTCTTGCTTTTCTTTGGCATCTATAGCCTTTACAGAAGGCCCTCTTGCTGATGCTCTCCAGGGTCGAGTTTCCAAACCAGCAGAACCCACCCCTGGGGTAAGTTCAAACATCCACTTTGCTCTGAACATCTGGAGCTCTGCCTAGAAATCCAGAAACTAAGTCCAATATTTGGGTAGACACATCTACATACAGGAAGTTAAACGATGTGCATGTCAGAAGTGAAAAGTGCTTACCATAATGTCTTCCTTGTTACATAAATAATAAAATATCCTGAGTCATTTGCTTTTGTTATTTACCCCAGGGTATATTTATTTTAGATAGGAACTGACATGTGGCTGCTCCATCTTTGAATTCACATGCATTATCCAAAGCTAACACTGTAGATGCGAGTGACTGAGAAATTCCCATGTTAACAATATCACGAACCACCACAGGTCAAATTTACAAGTTTGGAAACAAGCAAAATGGGATCTTGTCCTTCTCAGCAATCCTAGTGCTACTGGAACCAGAGTGTCACAAAAGCAGATGCAACAATACTTTGATTCCAACAATATAATACCTTCCATGCTAACTATTCAACGTAGTCAACCTAGGATACTACATGCACTCTCTGAACAAGATTGTAAAGACTCGGTTACCCAGGAATCCCCAATATTTCCCCATCCCTTCTCCTACAGGAACACTACAAGAAGAAATGTTGGAGAGATAGCATGCATTCTTTAAGTAACATTGTCATCTAGTGCAAGTGGTGCTGTTGGATCATCACTGCTTGACGCTGCAAAATGAACATAGAATAAATTATGTAATTGCAGTTATTGCTAAACTACATGCTGTCCACTTCATGTTTACTGAAAGAAAACTGTGTAATTGTTAGAACAGATGCCATATCCTGCAGATATAAGTATAGCAGTTTTCACTTTAAGATGCTGTTTTATAAGATCCCTAAGCCTAAACAGTAAGACCCTAAAGAGAAAGAAAATGATACTTGCAGATGGAGCTTACTATAGCTTATTCTTTGAAGAATGACCAATAAACATCATAGAACAGTGTTTTACAGCTCTGAGAAAGAGGAGATTCCTTAAAGAATTAAAATGTAAGTTTTCTTCAAGTCGCCTTAATAGTGACAAACAGTAAACCACTAAAAATACAAAAATAATAGAAAAGTTAAGTAAATATTCCAGTCAAGAATGTTTAGGAATGTCTACCAGATCATGAAAGATCATGTTTTCAAACCTAAAAATTTGTCTCCTTCCACAGTTTTTGAGAATTTGATCCTGCATGTATTTTGTAGAAATGAATGTACTCCCTTAGATTCAAAGATAAAGATAATAGAAGGAAATACAAGCACCTACTCTACTGTCTCAGTGGACCTGTAATGTTACTTACTAACACCTATCTTTACACTATTTTAGCTCAGGAAATTAGGCACATGATGAAACAGTTCAACTATTTAAGTATTTCTACACACTGGCTTTACTGTGCTAAACTGGGACAAGAGTACCAACAATAGAAGAAAATATGAACCAAACAACAAAACTGTGAGATCCTGCTATGTCCCAACACAAGGTAGCAGACATACCTGAAGATTTGCCTCTCCAGACCTTTCATTGCCATCTGTTCTTACCACATCAGAGTGACAATCTTCTTCACCTTCTGCCTGATAGAGAATAAATCACATAAATGAGAAGATTCATAAGATGTATAAGAATTCTAAAGCCATACAGAAAATCTAGAAAACTGGTTGCTACAGGTGTGCAGTTCAAATCTGTTTACAATAAGCACAACATTTTGCTAAATTAGCACAACATTTTGCTAAATAATTTCAGTGTAGGAAGATATACAAATCTCAATGTATAATATGTGCAACCACACCAGAAAACCACACCTTCATCTGATCATGTGTTCAGTTTGATCTTTCTACAGAAAACTAGATTCTGGACTTGTTCAGCCATTCCCCAACCTCATGTGCCAAAAACCTTACTATATGTTAGTGGAAAAGGTGGAAGGCATGGGGGGGGGGCAATCAAAACTGACTGTTCCAATAAAAACTCATTTGTTTACACAGCTCTGAAACAGTCAGACAGATGCTCAAGGATATCTAAATGTGTTTGTTAGTAAGTGGAGGTAAACTCTTTTTCAGAGACGTTTACTATAAGAGATAAATGACAGAAATATGGAAGCCTTTGGTATCATATTTCGCTAAATTAAAATTCAAGGATGTAGTACTAAGAAAAATAAAATATAGGGCATATACAAAATTATAAAGCAGTATGAAAAATATACCAGATTAGGAAACCATGAGCCAAAGAAATCTGCCAGGGATGGGCAGAAGTGGTAACAAACAACTCTCATTTCCTCTTTTTTTGAGCCACTTAACTTTGTGATTCAGTTTGATCTTTCTACAGAAAACTAGATTCTGGACTTGTTCAGCCATTCCCCAACCTCATGTGCTTTATATTTATTTTGTTTAACACTATTCTTTACTTGTGAATAATGTTTTTAAGAAGGGAACTGCTCACATCCTTCCCCTTCAAATTAGTGGTCATCACTCCTGCATTGAGCAGGGGGGTTGGATTAGATGGCTTGTATGGCCACTTTCAACTCTTGTGATTCTGTATCATGAAAAGAGGAATGCTCCTGCACAGATGGCATTTTTAAATTGCTGCTTACCTTAGCCTCTTAATATTGTTTAAAAGCTGTATTAGGTATATTTTTCATACTGTATTAGGTAAATTTTTTCAAAAAATCAATTTGTTTCTGTAGTTAGAACAAAATGAAGCCACCAATCAAAGTGCCTTTTTCTTGATGTCTTAGCGAAGTTAATATACTGACAGCGCAATCCTAGGCAAAGTTTCTCCACTGATTTCAAAGGGTTTCAAAAGGCAGTACAAAACACAGTTACTGCAGTCTGAGACCACTGGTTCCGATAACCTCAGACCGTAGTAACCCTACTCAAGACTGCAATACAAACCACTCGATTAGTGCCTGACTTGTTTTGGTTTCGCTTCAAAAGCTCCAACAAGCTATTCCGCCCCGCCCCTCCCGCACCTGTGGTGGGTGGAGGCACGAGGCAGGCCCCTCCGCGCGCGAGAGCGCACCCCCCACCCACCCACCCGTCACGCGCCGCCCCTCCTCCCAACCGTCTCACCATGCCGAGGCTGTTACTGCCAGGCCGTTCCGTCCAACGGTCACTCTCGTCAGGCTGCGGCGCTGTTGCCGTTTCACACGAAGGCGGCCCCTTCCTCCTCCGCTGGTTCCCTCCGGCCTTTCCCTCGCTGCTGAACAGCCGCGGGTAGCCTTTTGTTTCTTCTCCCCTTCTCAAGCGGTAGCAAGCAGGGAAGACAATTTAGCAGAGTTCTCGGTCGGAGAAACGGACCACGCAGCGGGAGTCACTGCGAGCGCGGCGTACAGCAGCCATTTTCCCAACCCGAGAGAGAGCGAGCAAGTGTGAGAGAGCGAGATCGTGAGCGCGCGAGCCAGTGTGTGTGTTTGTCTGTGTCATAAGCTGACCAGCGGGACCGAATAGACGAGCCGAAATGCCAGACGGGATCCCGCGCACGCGCGTAGAGGGACAACCCTGAAGGAGGTACTCCCTGCCTTACGTTACGCTGATGACGTATCTGTTGTGTTGTTTTTTTAAACTGCAATTCCCAACAGGGAATATATATATATATATTACGGAGATAGCTTTGGGGAAATTTTATACGATGCATTGAACGATGGGTGCTGCCAAAGTGCCGCATCGCATGGAAGATTTCGGTGACTGTAGGCTGGTTAGGCACTAAGGGGCGTCTATTATGCTAAACCAATCAGTGATAGGAGTGCTTCCTTTTCTGCTTTCTTCCCGTTTATATAAATAAGCTACGGACTCGCACTCAGTAAGAGACTTTCTAAAAGCAACTGAACCCCAGCAGCAGCAGCAATAAAGTAAACAGTTTAAAGAAGTAAAATTCTGAAGTTGTTTAACAGCACAATGGTAGGGTCCAACTCCTGAGCAAAACCATTACAAAGAAACCTAAATCTTAGGGCATCTTAAAAATAGGGTATCTGGGATTTATACAGCTAAGTAATCTGAAACGAGACACTCTAAGTAAATATTTGTTCCTTATTAGTCTTTAAAATTTCACCAGTGCATTTATAACAAAGCAGGCTGATAACCTTAAAAACTACCTTGTGGCACAAGCTTTTAGGGACTAGAGTCCGTTTCAGCAAGACTCACTCTTTTTGCTGTAACAAAGCAATATAGTATAGTTGTCTTTCTGGAATTTGTCATGCTGCTTTTCTTGCTTTTACTAAGGAGCTGGGGGAGAAATGGAATGGAAGAAAATTATTTGGTGGCAGGGTTGGATAAATACAGTCCTTTAGCTCAGTAGTTGGGACCCTCAGGTCACAGAGTCAAAAGTCTTTATAGCCACCACTTTCTTTTCTGCTTTTTGCATGCATGCTGAGAGGAGCAGCAGAACAGCAAAGTGGAGAGTAAATATAACTGTTATGTCCACTGACCGCCACCAGGGGCCAGCGAATACTCCTGAGCTTGAATCTGTACAAACAATTCGGCCAGTATTCTGTGTTCTTGCTGTGTACTAGTAAACCATGCTAATCACTGCATCCGTATCTGTGGTTTCTACATGCGTTTAACCCACTACACTTCAGTGGCGACGAGGATAGGATCCCGCTGAGCATCTCAGCCAGGCTGGCGAGGCACCACAATGGAAGACAACACACCGCTACCTATGCGCCTCTGATAGATGAGCAATGAGGGTGAGCACGCTGCTTCCCAGCCGCAGCCCCAACCGATCAGCACGATGGCCGTTGCTCCGGGATCCGGGCTGGTGCTGCAATTCGATGCAAACCAGCCTCAGCGTTGGGGAGCATGGATCACTTGCCTCAAGCAAGTCCTCATTTTTAATCAGGTGATGGATGAGGCCAAGAAGAAGGGGCTGCTACTCGGGTCCTGTGGCCCCGTCATAGTAGATCTGGCCCAGTATCTACTCTCCCCTAGGAAGCTAGAGGACTGCACATTCGAGGAGATTGTGAAGGCAGTCCAGGACCACTACACCCCTAAGCCATCCGAGATGACCTGCCACATGGTGTTCCATCAAAGGAGCCAGCAGGGCCAAGAAACGGCAGTGGAATTCCTTGCGGAACTCTGCTTCCTCGCCTCAGAGTGCAATTTAGGGACGCACTTGGATGTTGCCCTCTGTGACCGCTTTGTTACCGGGCTTCGGGAGGAGAAATTACGGCGTCGCATCATGGAGGTAGAGAAGGTGACACATCGGCCATCGCCACAGCCACTGCGTGGGAAAGGTCCCACCCGGCAGCCACCACAGTGCACAAGACTGCCATCAGCAGGCTGGGTGACCCCGAGGAAGCGGAGGTCCACCACACACTAGCCCCACACGCGAGCTCCATATGCAAGCAAACCAGCTCATCCACCCAGGAGTGTGCCAGCTGCGGTGAGAGACACGAGTGGAAAACATGCCGTTTCCAAGATGCCATGTGTCGCAACTGCGGGCGCACAGGCCACATCGCCCAGGTCTGCTGCTCAAAGGGAACCAGCCGGGCCCAGCCGCCGCGCCGCAGAGTAGATGCCCACTTCGAGGATGACGCTGCGTCAGAGGACCTCTATCACCTCACACATGCATCAAAACAGGTACTGAAACTCCACGGCCAATTGTCCACACCCAAAATACAAGTTAATGTAAAAATAGAGGGGACTCTGGCTCCGCGGCCTCGATCATTTCCGAGGCCACACTCAAATGCTTATGCCCTAAGGGGGGGACCTCGCTTGCACCCATCCCCGGTGACCCTCATGGACATTCAGCGGAACCAGGTGCCGATTAAGGAGGTCGGGAGTTTCTGAGTCCAGTACCACGGATTCAAGGGCCATCTGGACTTAATTGTGGTAGAGGGCGACTTGGTCAGCCTGCTGCGTTGCGCCTGGTTTGAGCCCCTGGGAATCTCGATCAAGGGATTCCAGCTATGTGCAGCCCATGATTTCCAAGGAATATGCCGTGAATTTCCCGCTGTTTTCAATTACTCTCTGGGCCGTTATACGAACCCCCCCCCCGGTGTCCCTGTGTCTAGACCCCAAGGTGGCCCCCATCCAAATGTGTGCCAGGATGGTTCTGTTGTCGGTCAAGCCTAAAAGCGACGCGGAACTGGAACGCCTTGTAGCTCAGGGCGTCCTGGAACCAGTCTCCCACACGGCGTGGGAAACCCCCATAGTGATGGTGGAGAAGCCAAATGGGGCTGTCCGCATCTGCGCGGACTACAAATGTATGCTTAATAAGGCACTACAGGACAATGCCTATCTGGTGCCTGTGGTTAGCCACGTACTGGCCACCTTGGGGGGGGGGGGCAAAGATTTTTGGGAAACTTGATCTTGCCCAGGCCTACCAGCAGTTGCCAGTCGATGAGGCGACTGCTGAGGCGCAAACAATAGTAACCCACCAGGGGACATTCCATGTCAACAGACTGCAATTTGGGGTGAGCGTGGCACTCGGGTTATTCCAACAACTGATGGATTCTCTTCTCAAAGGAATACCTGGTGTCACCCCGTTCTTTGATGATGTGATGATCACCGCCGCCACGCCAATTGACTTCGCAGACTGCCTCTGCGCCGTTCTCCACCGCTTTCAAGACGCCGGACTCAAAGTTAAACAAGAGAAGTGCCTGCTGGGGGTACCATCTGTGGACTTTTTAGGCTTCACGGTGGACGCGGACGACCTGCACCCGAACCGTGACAAAGTAAAGGCGATCGTGGAAGCCCCGCCACCAAAGTCTAAAATCGAACTGCAGGCATTCTTGGGGATTCTCAATTTCTACCACGCCTTCCTTCCCCACAAGGCAGCGGTAGCTGAGCCCCTCCACCACTTGTTGGATAAGCAGACCCCTTGGCTGTGGGAGCCCCGCCAGGCTGCTGCATTTTGAAATGTAAAAGAACTGTTGATCTCCAACTCTGTCCTTGCGCACTTTGATGAGGCACTGCCGGTAGTTTTGGCATGCGACACTTCACCTTACAGCATCGGGGCAGTGCTGGCACATCACCTCCCGGACGGGCAGGAGGTCCCAGTCGTGTATTACTCACGCACTCTGCCTGCGGCGGAGCAGAACTACGTTCAGATAGATTGTGAGGGACTCACAATCGTGGTCGGGGTCAAGAAGTTCCATGACTTTGTCTATGGCCGGCCGTTCACCATTGCCACTGACCACCGCCCGCTCCTCAGCCTCTTCGCGCTAGATCGCCAGACACCGCAAGTCCTATCCCCGTGGGTCTTGCGGTGGTCCATTTTCCTTGATGCCTACAATTACAAGCTGCAACACCGCCCGGGGAAAGCTATGGGCCACACTGACGCCCTTAGACTTCTCCTGCCTGAAGCGGTTGAGGATCCGGCCCCTGCGCACCTCGTCCTCCAGCTGGATGGCTTTCCAGAGGCTCCGCTGCAGACTGCATACATTGCCCGCCGCTCAGCTCGGGACCCCATCATATCCCGAGTTCTGGGCTGGGTGGTGAGGGGGTGGCCTGCAAAGACTGAGGGTTCAGAATTCACTACATTTATGGCCCGCCGGGAGGAACTGTCGGCACACAAAGGCTGCCTGCTGTGGGAAGACAGGGTAGTAGTCCCCAGCGCCCTCCGTCAAGAAGTTCTCTGGGCATCGTAAGGATGAAAGGCCTCACCAGGAGCTACGACTGGGTGCCGGGCAGCGATGCAGAGGTAGAGGCGTGGGTGAAATGCTGCCCAACCTGCCAAGCCGTTCAACCCAGTCCACCGAGCGCACCTTCACAGGCACGGGAATCCACACAAACCCCGTGGTCCCGGCTCCACATAGACTTCACCGGACCATTCCACGGACTGCTATTCCCAGTGACTGTGGACTCCTATTCGAAGTGGCTGGAGATAAGCTCCATTTCCGTGACGTCCGCAAAGGCCACTATCCACGCCCTCCGAAAGATCTTTGCCACCCACGGGTTGCCCGACACCATCGTATCGGACAACGGGACAGCATTTACTTTGGATGAATTCCAACAGTTCCTCCGCAACAACTTGATCAGACCGCCTGCACCCAGATTGGGCTCCCGAGCCGTGGAACTCCTCCGAGCAGTGGGAAGCGCCTCACGGTTTCTTCCCAGAGGACCCCGTCTTTGTCAGAAATTTCAGAAGGGGCCTGGAATGGATCGTCAGCCAAGTCATCCGTCCCACGGGCACCGTCATGTACGGCATGTCTATGGAATGCGGGCAGGTCCTTCAGAGACACATTGACCAGCTCCGATGGTGCATGCTCCCTGAGCATCCGAGCATGCAGGTGCCCAAGCACCCGGAGGTGAGCACCCAAGATGCCCCAGCACAAGACCTCCCAACAAAGGAGCACCAGAACCTTGAGCCCTGTCCCCACGGTAGCTGCTGAGGAGGGCCCACTAGCCGTCCCTCCTGCACCGGAGGAGGCTGCACCACCAGCACGACTCAGCACCACGGAGGTGGCCCCAGAGGTCCCAGTACTGGCTCCCCGATGGTCCACTA